TCGAGGGACGGTAAATCAACATTTCACCGTTGTCCCGCGAAATTAAGGAAACCCTTGATCTACGGGCCATCCACGCTCGATTCTTGATCTACGGCGTGGCCCGGACTTTTCTATGTCCACCCCCGCATTGTCCCGCTTGAATGGATCTCGCTGCCGTGCCCCCGGCCCCACGCCCGTATTCGTTTCTTTCCTATTTTCTCTCCATCTTTTACCTTCGAAACTGTCGAGGGGATCCATTCACGTCCCCCAACTCTCGCGTGACCTCGCGCGAAATCGTCACGCGAGAAACGTGACGCGATACACAACTTGCGCGGATATATTCAAATCGGCTATCGCACGCGCGAGAGAGAAAGAGAGAGTGAGAGAGAGAGAGAGAGAAAGAGTTATAAATTGCGCGTTTTATAAGAAATAATTATTTCCCTTTCGCCTCATAAACGGCGCGTTTCTAACGCGTTGTGAATTTATGATTGTACCTCTTTGGTTGAATTTTTCATATTACTTCGAACCAAAGTACTACGCTCTCTCTCTCTCTCTCTCTCTCTCTCTCTCTCTCTCTCTCTCTCTCTCTCTCTATTGCTCTCTCTTTTGCTTTTCCGTGCAATCAAGCCTTGTACAGCCGGTATTGTAAAAGGTACGAGCGGGATTGTGTTCTAAATTCGAAGGAGAAGTTGTATGTATAGCGTGCGAACGGGCTTGACCGTGTAACACAGCGGAATAATTCAAACTCGCTAGCTGCTTGATTCAATAATAACTTGATTTAAGATTCACCTGGATTTCCCGATTAAAATCAATCGAATAAATTTCATTTATTAATTGAAAATTACAATTCATTTTATCAATGAGTTTCCAATATCGAGTTATCTGTAATTTCAGCAGAGATTCGCGAGATAACGTAGATTGTATCATTCGCACAGCACACATATATATCTCTTTCTAACACAGAACACTCGAAATTATACGATACAAACACGTCTCGCGCATAATACGTTGCTGAAAATCGTCTATTCCGGAATGTTGAACGGCTGATTCACGAAGAGACGGTCTTGTGCGCCCATTCGCGGTACACAAAAGATCCCGGGCTGAGTACGCGTGTACGCGCGCGCGTATTAAACAAAGAATTTACTTTGCAAGGAGAATCGAGCGACACACGCTACATATATAAAATTGAACGACCTTTCTTTATTATTAGCTCGTATTTTCTAACATATTTTCACGCTAACGTGTCCTCCCACGTACGATTCGTACGATACACACATCGTAAACATGCAACGTGAATATGCGAACGTACAGCAGCACACGTGGTGGATCGCTGGTCACATCGTTGTTTTAGTAGCCTTATTTCATAACACATCAGCATTTCGATGTGGCAATATGCCACGATCATGACGATGACGATAGTAATAATAATGTTTATGTCCGACTGTCGCGCGACTATTGTGCCGCTAGCCGTTGACGATGACGAAAATAATGCTCGATTTTGTACGCAAATGGAACCGCCGTTGCTGTCAGCGGGATCGGCCTGCGGAAGTGAAAATGTGAGAAACAGAGGGTAGGCTCGTGAGAGGGACAGAGAGAGAGAGAGAGAGAGAGAGAGGGAGAGAGATGCAATAATAAATGGCGCTCCATTAGTCCCACTTTATTGAAAACCGTGAGCTACGTTTTAACCACCAGACGGTGGGCGAGCGGTGACGCGTGACGTCATCATCCGAGATCCTTTAATGCCGACATCTTTTTCATACTACGCCCTTTCCGCATTCACTCTGGCCATATTTTAACAAACCTTACCGCTCTACGAAATCAAATTCAGCAACTATTTACTGTCGAGCAATGATATCGAGTTCGATGGATTTCGTAAAAATTCGCTAAAAGCAAACCGCTCCTCCAAGACCACTCGCGTGACGCAAGGATGCTCTCCCGCGAAATTATGAATATTTGGACTTTCCTGATTCACGGAGGAGGTTCGCGCTTCCTTTTGCTGCCTCCGTGTGGTATGAATGCGCGACGCTCGCTGAGATATTCAAGCAGACAAGAAGAATGCACGGATAATTTAATCTACCAAGAAATGCGAGCGAATGAAAAGAATCGTGTCAAGTGCAGGGTATTTTATGGTAGAGTCCTTTTCAACAATATTTGCTTAATGAAAACATCCCCTTCCCTTGCGACCGTTATCATTAGTGAGCGAGGTTACAAAGTGACCGGTTTATGAATATTTTATTACTCGAATCTCATACAAGAGTACTTCGAATGCGCGTCAGCCGCATTGTCTTCGAACGATAAAGAGCGGCTGTGTTTTCCCACGTGTGTGTCAATTTAGGGACAAGCACCGCCGATCTCATCTAAATAATCGATCTTGAATTGAGAGCATCGCTTTGGGGGTCCTTGCCAAGACGCCAAGTTGGTATATATGGGACAATCGCAATCGCGCGCACGCGAATCCCGGGACGAGTCCGCGGGCGAGATAAACTCCTGTCAATTTCCTGTTGATATCGTAACAGCGCCAAGATCCCGTTGCGACGCGATGCGCCGACCGCGCCGGCGGATCGATCGAAGGGGGAAGAAGATGATGAGGATCGGACTAATTCACGAGAATGGACCGCCGTGTGTGCTCACCGGAACCTCCGACGGCCGAGGATAGGCCATTGGAGCGATTGTAATCAGACCACCCTCCGTTTTCGACACGTCCCGCGCGCACCTCTATTTCACCGTTCTATACTTTCCGACTGTGGCATACTCCATTCGGAGTAACTGGTGCCCCAGCCAGAGACCTTCCGGCGGTAACTCGATTTTCGACTACTCGTCTTGATCTATTCCTACGAATCAGCGTGGAAGAAACCGTATCGGGTCGGGTGGAGAATGTGAGTAGGTAGGTAGGTAGGTAGGTAGATAGGTTGGCTGGCTGGTAGGAAAGGTGAAACGAGAGAGAGCAGAGAAAAGGAGCATATTTTATCGAGCCGATGCGAGCGAGGCTGTACCGCAACGCGCCGCGACTCGCACTCGACTGCACGGCCGTGTGCGAATCGATAATTTATCCCCCCGAAAGCTTACTTCGCACACCGTTTCACCACCGCACTCATCCGACCGGCTCTATCTGATCGTGGGATCGCGCGATGAGCGACGACGAGCTTTTCGCGCGCTCCCCGAGTTGGGAGGAGAGACCGGGAAAAAAGAAACACGAAACGGCGCGTGTAATTAACGGGATTGAGAGTGTGGGAAGGGTGGCACTCGATGCGCTAGAGTAATCGACAAATTAGCGCGTCGACGGAGTAATAAATAAAGAATGGAGCGCGCATCTTAAAACGCGGCGCGGCCGAGTGTTGCAATTAGAGATGAGGCAAACGAACCAGATCTCGGTAGGAATGCGATGCATATTCAGCGAACGTGGAACGCACGCGCGGCGAATAGCCATTGTAGTAAATCGGCGATTTTACCCCGCGCCTTCCCCATTAGGAAGCGCAAATATCGTGCACCGTCTCTCGAGAATAGCGTAACTTCATATTAAAGATGTTCATAACTCCCATAGCAGTCGCGTTTTCAATTCGCGTCTGGGTCAGCGGAGGAATGCAAGCAGCGCGTTGTTCAGCACAAACGCATCCCTCGTATTATATGGCGTTTATAATTCAATCTCAACGGAGTAACACTGGCGCGCATCCCCGTGTCGCGGGACGCGCCTAGAAAAATTTGCAGCGACATTTTTGGAACGATAAACGCGTGTTTTCGCGACACTTACTTGAAGAGATGTTTCAGCTTACATTAGTGGAGAAATAGCAGATCTGTGGAAATTTTTCTAAGGTTTTAAGTTCATTCAGCAAATTTAATACAGTCTTTAAATTTTCTTGTTCCATTTATTTCACAATTACATAAATTAGAATCACCACCAATTAGAGGCGTCTGCCGACATCATGCTCAGCGCCAAAAGATCTGAACGGAATTTAAATATTTTTAATAATTTTTTGCGCTTAAAATAATGATAAATAATTAGTCAAAATCTTATATCGATATCTTTATTCGTTTTTTTTTTAAAGAAACTCGTAAAACCTCTTGTTTTTCGACTGCAAAACTTCCCTTTAACGCAACGTTATCCAGAAATTCAGAGCCGTTGCGATTTCTCAGCGATTACCCGCTCTGAAGTAATTAATTAATCACATTGTGTCGCTAATTATCGGGTACTTTTATCGGCGAAAAGTCTCGCGTTCGTTTAGTATTTGTCGTTATTTCCAGGAATGCGTATGTACCAGAATCACATACCGCGACGGATCGCACAAAATGGCTGTGATTAATAATTAATCGTTAATAATTATCCCTCGTTTCACATATTCCACGGTCTGCGGCGGCTTGTCCAAAAATAGCTGCGATTAATAATTATTTATCGCCGCTAAGCGGCATCGATGTGTGTATGTGTATATGTGTTCATGTTGGAAATAATTCGATTACAACCGCGCAACCATCAGCGGCCCCCTATTCTCCGTCGAGTTATTTTGAAGTGTCTAACTTAGAGGTCGCGTATCTTGTGTATTATGAAAGAGCTTCGATTACCCAAGTAGCGCTCCCGCGCTAAGAGTAATTTTCCAGGGAAGTTTCGTTTCCTTTGTATTATTCCAGATATTTCAGACCGAAACGTGACGTTACTAACGAAAGAATATATCCATTAACAATTTAATGAAGGAATATTCTCCGGGCGCGACTGGATGTTGTTTGTTCATACCACGAATACGTCGCGACTACAAATATCGATTCCTTGCGCAGTGATATTGTATAAAACCGGTTTTCCATTAAAACCGACCTGCAATCTCAGTCTTACTTATTACGCGAAAATAAATACGATCACTTTTAAGCGCGAGAGCATCGCACGGAAAGAGAGAAGTGCGAAGTTATTGTGTGAATTAATATCTAGATATTTTTATTAAATTCCTGACGACAATACTTTTGATGGTACAAATTCGTAATCGTATTCTTCTTTCTCGTAAAATGCGTCTGATCGTCTCTTGACATTTCTGTTTCAGAACACTATCACATATTCGTTGGGGACCTGAGTCCGGAGATCGAGACACAAACCTTGAGGGAAGCGTTCTCAGTCTTCGGGGAGATCTCGTAAGTCCTCTTAATCTTGCTCATTAAAGACGACTTACCGTTCTGCTAGTGTTATGCGAACGATAATATAATGACGTAATGTTACTAACAATCCTCCGCGAGAGTGAAGTAATCTGATCTTTGATTCATGAAGATTTTTAACGCATTCCATTCCTCTCTTCTACGCTTGAGCTTAACTAAAAGAGCCCAGCCAATTACGGCCTTAAATATCGCCTTAATTTCATCACGCGCACACATACACACACACACACATACGTGTCACTGGTTCGCTTTCATAAAGAAGAAAATATTGAACGCAAAGTTAAGGGTATCTTCCACACAAGATATTTAATACACCTTATCTTTCATAGCCGTGACAATATTGAGCAATCTTTTATGCCACGCAAAATATTTAAACGTGTCTCGCACGTTTGAACATATAAAAAAACGGTCTTACATATTTATGCAAAACCACGTATTGTTTCGACGTCACGCGCGTGTTGTCCGCAATCACAGTGGCATGTCAGAAATGCAATTGATAAAAACCGTGTATTATTAAGCCGCGACGAAAGCCACCGGAAACGTCAGTGGTGACCGTAAATAGACATAATCAAATCCCTAGAAGTTGCAATAGAAGGAAATCCGGAATATTTCGTTTTATCAAGCGGTTTCGCAAGTTTATTACACTTTTAACGACCTCACCCTCTCGTCCTAACTGAGCTGTTTTACGAGTTTCCATCATCGTCCGACGTTTCACGATGCACCGACGCGAACAATAATAACGCATATCTCTGCGATCGCGCGCGCGGCAGCTACCACGAGTCCTGCGACCTTGCGCTCCGTTAAACTCGCCGGTCGATAGATGCATGACGATAATATCGCAAGCACCGATACCCTTCGAAGTCGGGCGTCGCTGCGAGCTAGAGGTGAAGTCGCGTCAATCTCCGCAGTCTTGATCGATTGTATCGGTGAGCCGGTAACATTAAGCCACGCGCACTTATGCGGCGGCAGCCGGCTGTCGAGGCCTGATTTTACGCATCTCTGCAGACACTATTTAGGGAACGTAATCAATCCTCTGTAAGTTCAGTGCCATTGATTGATAGCGGATGGCACAGTCGGCTTTCTTTCTCTTTCCGCCCGTTTTCCCTTTTTCTTATAAAAATATTACATCTCATGATAATGTAATAAAATGCTAAAAGATTCTGAGATGTCATAATTATAACCAAAATTCATCTAAAAATAAAAGACATTGCAAAATTCGCAATGCTTACGTCTACACAGTGAGAAAAATATTTAAAAAATAAAAAATATTTATTCGGTGGATGTATTAGTAACATATTAATAACATATTAACTTAAATCTGAATTCTTTCATTTAAATAGAATAAAAAATTGCTTTCATGAAAAATTAAGAAAATATATACTTTCTTCTATGAAATATTTGATATTAATACAAGTAAAAATATATTATTATATATATTTATTACTCAAAATAAATACTTTTCATTTCCTAAATATTTGTTTCTTCAATATAATTAAAGTTGTCACAAATATACGAAAACAATGCATATATTTTGCTTGAAAAAGAAAATTAAGATAATCTAATTTGTAGGAAAAAAGCCACGTGTAAAAAATCATGCCGGGGAATGTTAACACGACTATGCTCGCGAATTATCGAATGATGAGAATTATCCTTACTGCCAAAAGCAAATTACCGTGTACACATGCCAAGGATTCGTGGTAGTCTAAGAATAGGTATAATCAGTGGCAGAACTTCGATTTTGCGAGGAAATTACGGGAGCAAAACAAAAGGAACGTATTGAGCTTACATTTTGCGAGCATGCGAAGTGTCAGTAAGCCCGCGCTCTACATCGATTGTATCTGCAAGCCAGTACGCTACGCCCTGTGATTTTACGTGACGAAAGTCAGGGACAGTATCGCGATTTCGCTGCGCGATAGACTACGAAAGAAAATGGACGAAATAAATGCAGCCGCGAGACGTAGGGGCGGCGTATAGGTACTACTACTACTACTACCCCTTTCAGCCTCGTCGATGAACGCCAACGTTTATTTCTTCGTTTTAATATTCTTTCGGACGGATGTATTTACGTTAACAACGATTCATCGAGGCGCGCTTTATCATCTGTCTCTCCCTCCCCCCCTTTCTCTGTTTCTTTCTCCCCTCTCTCTCTCTCTCTTTCTCTCTCATACACACAAACACACATCTTCTCTTACTCTCTATATCTCGCGCGGATTAAGAATCTCGATCCGTAAAAATCGTAGGTAGAACCGCTTCTACCGAAGCATAGATCTTCGTATTCGTTTCTCTCGCGGCAAGAAATCTCCATTCGGATTTCGCATCCTGATTTATTCTTGGCTCATGCAGATGCATGCACCTCTGTTCGCCCGCGAAACTTCACGAGCGTTTGCTCGACGTGGCGGCGGCGGCGGTGAAGGGTGGAGAGGAGGGGGAGGAGAAAAAAGGGGGAATCGCCGTGTGCGAGGGGGTATCGAAATTTCAGATTCCAATCTAAACTCGGCCTTCGAGCGACAACCGTGCTCGACGGCGAAACAGCTGGAGGTAGGTACAGTTTGCGCCGCTTGGCACAAGAAGACGGCAGAAAAATGGGCCCCTGCCCCCCTCCTCCTCTTCCTCCACCACCTCCTCCTTCTCTTCCTCCTCCTCTACTACCACTACCCCCCCTTCCATTCCTGCCTGTGCCCCCCTTTGGAAAAATCGATTCAAACTCGCTCCACGAGTACCTAAGCCGCGCTTTAAAAAGCTAGTGAAAAATTGCCAGCGGTTTTCCTCTTTTATTTTGTTTTCTCCCCCTCCCCCGGCCTCCATCTCCTTTCTCTCCTCTACCACCAATGCTCCTCACGCCTCTCCTCTGTGCTCCGTCCAATGCTCCTTTTCCCTCGATCCCAGGTATACGGTCTTCCCTGCCTCAGCTGGTTTATCCCGGAAAGGCCTTCCATGCCTCGTACTTGGCGCGCGATAAACATTCGTGATTAATTATATCCTCTCCGGTGAGATCCTCCGGTTCGATCGAGTATACGGTATTACGCCACGACGATGAGGATTGTATTACTGGGTCAAACATATCATGGATAACCGTTAAGCGAATCTGTCCAAGTAGCTCGCCCGCAATAACCAACTCGCGGAGGCTTAGGAGGAGAGCGAGTTATCGCAAATTTATATTGATATCCATCACGCTGTGAGCAATTTCGCGATTCTTATACGTGCCGGTCAGCGCATTTCCCTCAAATATGAATAACACCATGTCGGCGAATATCGCTCGCCAAGCGTGAAACGTGGTTTAGCGCTTCTGCTTTTCGGGCAAGCCTTTATGAATATTGCACCATAAATTTTAGTTTTATGTCGCACATACACACATACACACACACACACACGTACACACGCGACGTATGTGTGTTTTATATATAAATATATACGTATGACCTACCGTCACGAAATGTCATCACGAGATACGATGGCTTCCTTCGCGTTTTTGCGCAAACCGTCAAGCTGAGAAGATCGGTTATTTTTCGCCGAAAAGACTGTATCTATCTCGCGACAGTACGGAGCAGCTTTCCATGAAAGAATAATAAAAGTGGCTCCGCCACTCTCAAAAAATATAACGTCTAGTGTAGGTTGTGTTTTATAGAACGCACGTCACATTTAATCGCACATCGCATCAAATTACGTTAATTGGCGCAAACTTCCAGAATAAAAATACCGTCTCATCGAACCGTTTCCGCGGAGATACGATCCGTGAGAAAGCAACTTGGCGACTGCGCGAGCCAGGATATAATTTTCTGAAAACGCGAAAATATATATCTACAAGTGAAGTATGCTCTTTCGCATTAAATGCAAGGCATAATTATATTTATCGGAAGAATTTAATTGCAAATTGCTGATTCGCCGGGTACTAACTAGAAATTTTAACGATGCAACTTGAAATTTTAGCCGCGCGAATTAATTATTGGCCGTAATTTGCAAACGATGCAATATTGAAACATAAATCGAGGCTCTAATCGATGTCACAATTATCGACGATGTAGTGTGAGGCGAATATATTTTTGGAGGAAGAAAAAAACATTTGGAATATTTTTAATGACGACGGGGAGCCCAGTCGCTGTATTTATTCGGTCGACGTTCCCGTTACATTATTTCTGTATCGAACGGCGTTATTAAATACGACAGAAACGCGTTAAAGCGTCAACGAGTAATAGTCGTACCCTCTCTGCGAGGGAGCCAGGAGTATCTTTCAAAACTTGAGGGCAGCTTCACGAACAATGACTACAATGGGGTAGGGATTTCTAGAATGGTCCATTCACATGAGTGCGACAACTTGCTTCAGCCTATGTCCACATTTGCATACGAGCACATTGCAGTTACACCTTGATTACTCTTGGAGATTCAAAGTAGCCACCCGGATCAGAGACAAAGTAGTTTCCAGGGGCGATACGAGATAACTCTGTGACGATTTGTATACCGCGTATACAAACCGCGGCACGATCAATTATTATCGTTTCTATTCGAGTCTACGTATTACATGGAACAAAAAGACACGAGCAAAAATGGAGTGGAACGAGAGAAATTTTCCGTCCAGCAAAATTGCACGTAAAACAGAGCAGACGTGATATGTTGACGTTTGGTTTTTACAAGGAAGAATGTCTTCTTTTGACAAACGACGCGGAGGAGGAAATCGCGCGCGCGACACGATAATGACGATTAAATTTCTTCCTGACCGGATCAATTACGCTGTAAAGGCAGAGAGAGAGAGAGAGAGAAAGAGAGAGAAAACACCGTAGATATATAATCCAGTAACACGTGAGTTGTATTCCAGAAGAGCGATTCGTACGCGCCACCCTGAGGAGCGCCGCTTACGGCCACGTGTTTTGGGTATTTCGGTACAGCGTTAGGCCGTTAGTGTCACAGCTTGATCTCGGTGGAGAACCAAAGCTCGCTTTCAGGTTTAAATGGTGGTTAAGTAAGCTGCACGGTCGCCTCGCTCT